AAACATAGCAACTGCTGAGAAAACGTTACCGGACGGGAAGTAAGAAAACTTACCCTGCAGAGAGTTAAATAGCTTGAACGCTATAAAGAAAAGAAAGTAATCAAAGAATTACACAACTGGATACTGCCATAGGAAGGGATAAATAATATTATAACCAAGTCCAAGAGATTTGTGTGAGACGGAATTTTTGATCTCACAATAGCATGAAAAAAAAAATTGATATATATATATATACCAGAAATTCATTGATTAAGCAATATTTATTTTTTTCCTTTCTAAATATATGTGTAATGCTAACATCATGCTACATTGTGACAGATTGCTACATTTTTTGAGAAAAATAATAAATTCACATGTTTAATAATTGCATACATGAGAAGGAATTTTTTGGCAGTAAATCATATATAAATAGTTTTTTTTTATTAATAATTTATATTTATACATGAAGCAAAATTTTAAAAATTTATTGCAATGCAAATTTAATTATATATATTGAACAAAAACGCACAGAATTTCATTAATTAGAGAATGCTATTAAAATTAACATGTAAAAATATAATGTTCAGCATTTTAAAATACCTGATGATCAAGTCTTAGTATTTTATTTTTTGGATGATTCACACCATCAAATAGATTTTTGTTTGGATCATTCTCAAGATATGCTTTGATAAATTTATGTAAAAAATATAATAATTTTATTAGTAAAAAATATTATACATTATTATTATTTTCTTCTAATGTAGTTCTATTTATACATAACCTAACAGTAAACTTATTACTTATTGTTTCATTTCCCCTATTATCTATGATTTTTATTTCCTTCCACATAAATACTATATCTCCACTACCTTCTGATCTTGTACATATATCTGAAAAAACAGCTTCATTATTTTCATAATATTTAATGGCCCAATCTTCTGACCCCAGACATTCATTTAAATTTTCTTTCCCCTCCATTCCTTTAAAAACACATCTATACCACCTATCAACACTTGAATATCTTGTTATATGATTACTAAATATTTGAACAAATACAGCTTCGTGACAAGTTAGAACAAATTTCTTCCATCCTCTTCCACTTCTATTATTTTTGTAGCAACTCCAAAAACCAGATATAATTTCTTGCTTAAATTGCTCAACCAAAAATTCAGGAACTTCTAATGATAATATACTTACAGGTGGACTGTTATATTCTTTATGTTTTTGAGCTTCATGTCTTCGTAAACCATTAATGTTTTTATACTCATAATCATTTTGACATAAATTGCACTTATAAATTTGGTTCTAATTTACAAAAATAGAATATAAAAACTATTAGATTAAGAAGCTAGAAAACAGTAAACAGTTGTCAACTACTTACTTGGACTTGGATTTGGTTCATTTTTATAATTATGCGTGTATATATATATTTACGTTTATCTAAAATTAAATGTATATAGATCAGTTATTTGACTATTTCTATAGTATTTTTGTCCTACAGTATATAGTGGGACGATTTGGTGGACTTTTTTTATATTATGAAACTTACCCTGGGACGATTTGGTAGACAATGTAAAGAATATACAACAAAAAAAATTTTTTTTTTTTTTTTTTTAAAAATGTGTTTTTATGAAAATACAAAGTATTGCTAAGAATATCACCTGAAAAAAGATTTTATTTACTAAAAAAAATTATATGTTTACTATGTAGTGAATTTAATCGTCTATATATGCATTGTTAAAAAAAATGGATCAGCACTAATGATTAATTTTTTTATTTTTTTATTAGTATCACGTGCAACCGATAAAATATTCTTGTAAATGTCAAAATGTCACCGCATATAATATATTTTTTTTTTGTTAGAAATTTTAACTATACAATTTGGAAATTTAAATAGAGAAATATTTTTGTTTGATACAAATCTTATGCATGGATGACAAACTTTCAATACAACTCAGACAACTCATCACATACCAACAATAATTCCACCTCAACTAATGGTGGTGGTGGTTTTGTACCAAGTATAATCGCAGAAATAGCATCTTTGGTTGTTATAATTTCAGGAATACTTGTAGCTTTTTTTTATATTTTAAAACGTAGAAAATCTAAGGCTGGAAAGATTATTGAAATGCCAAGTAGTTCTGACTATAATAAACTGAGTGAATACGCAGCATCAATAATTATTATAATTATTCTCATATATGTGTATTTATGTGTGTAATATAATGTATTTTTACTATTCTAATTAAATAATTAACCAATTTTTTTTTTTGCGTTAATGATTCTTTTTCCTTTCAAATGCTGTCGTGTCAACTTTATAAAAATTTTAAAAACTTTTTTTTCAAATAATTAATGCTTCCAACATTTAAAACATCAGGAAATTATTGAGATCACTACCATTATCCATTAGACAAAATACATTCACGGTAAACTGAATTTACCGTTACAAGTCTCAACCGAGTCTTCTTTACAACGAATTATTTCCCGTGAAACCAAACATTTCAAATATAACACAAAATATAAAAATCCACACAAAAATTACGACATTTAGTAAGGCACCGTAACACGGTAACCTTTCCAATAAAAGAAATCTCAGACTGATATAAATAGAATTTCCATTATACTCGTGTTACTATTACTGTTTTTTGAAGCATTCCTTTTTTGAAAGAAAAAAAAATTACGAGACAACTAATGGATATTGACATTATTGACCAATCTCAAGTTGAAACTTGGCCACTGATGGAACTTGATAATACTTATATATTTAATAATAATAATAATTATATACATCAACATAGTAATTATGATTATGGTAATACTTATGCACTTGATAATAATTATAATAATTGTATACATGATAATATTTATATACTTAACGACTTGGAACCATTAGTATCTATAAGATACTATAATACAGGCGAGCCGGAGTATAGCAAGCACGCAAGGGAGCCAGATTATTTCCAACAAGAGACTTTAAGGGAATATTTACAAAATAATCATTCAAAGTTGACTTTGAGTGGTAGAATTACACTCTTTAAAACTTTGTGCTTATCATTAAGTGATATACATGACAGAGGTTTAATCTATC